CTACAGGGGTTTAAATGGATGATTTTGCTTCAGTAAATTCCGGTTACTAACTTTGGAGTTTCCTATACTTTGTAAATTACACATAAATATATTTGATTCATTGCTTGAGAAATAGTTTCACTCCCTGTGTTACATCACATATGTCAAACTCGAGAATATATTACTTTATAGTTGTTACTGGTTACAAAACATGGAACCATTAAGTTCCGCAATTTGATTCTCATATGGTAACTCAACTCTATAAGAGCTCACCTAGCATGACAGACATGTATTAATTTCATGGCTGCATATCAATCTCTCAGTTGTATAAGTCACATGTAGCAATACAACAATTTCAGCATTTAAAACAATGCATTGCTTATGAAATTCTTCGAGGCTTTATGAGTATTATCTGCATATGTACATCTTCATTCATGTTCGATTTTTGAAAGATATTCAATCAAACAAGGGTCAGAAAAAAAAGAGGCCAGAGAACGCTTGGGATGTGGCCACTAACCCCTTCTTCAGAGGAAATAAATAAATTATGACCAGGTTAGCATGTCCAGTCAATGAAGAAACACCTTGCTAATCATTGATGCTGAGAGATGTCAGTTTATTGTAGGCTTCACTACTGCAGAACCGATCTCTTGATGGGCAAAAATCACAAATCTCTCGGTTCTCTTATAAACTGGTACTAAAAATGGTCTTTGGTACTGGTTCGTAAACCCAACAACTCGTTATGATCTTTAGTACCGGTTGATAATACTAACTGGTCCTAAATATTATTTTTAGTCCCAGTTCACTTTATGTCAGGCCTTGTCAGGCCACCCAGGATCTTTAGTACCGGTTAGCACCGGTTGATGCCACTAACCGGTGCTAAAGATCGACCTTTTAGCACGTGTTGGTGCCACGTGGCGCTACTATCTTTAGTACCGGTTGGTATTAAAGATGCATATCTTTAGTCCCGAATTGAGCGTCCCGGTTGCATACTCAAAACAAAACTAAAGGGGTTGTGAACCGGGATTAAAGATGGGTTACTCAGCAATGCTTGTAGCGATCAGTGTAGACTGGCCCCCAGAGGCTAGGGCTGTTCATTTTCATTTTTGAGAAGGGGAAGAGGTTGGCCTCCAGAAATGGCTTTCGTTTTAAATCCATCGGTATTCGGTACAAAGACAGAAATTGTATGTAGATCTTATTATTGGCTGAACAATTATTTCCAGTTGAATTCTAAACTGTTTGTACAAAGTATAGTTGAATTAACTTCACAAGAGATGGAATGCATTTATTAGTCTAAGTTTACGTTATTTACCTGTTCAGAACTGTAACTTTGACAACAAATTATGCCGTGGACAAAGACTTTGAAAGTATCCAAATATACGAGGATTTTTTTTAACAAATACTTTTTTATCCTTAATATAAACATAGTAACATTATTTTAATAAAATCAACTTGTGTTATCAAATCTCAACTGAGCATTTAAGAATTTGAATTGGAGGTTACAATCTTACTCCCTCTATTTCAAAATACAAAATATAAGGCTCAACCACTCTTAACTCAAAGACCAAGAAATAATTATTATCACCTCGTAGTTTGAATCACCCTAATAAATATAATGCATGCGCCCAATAGAATTAAAGATATTGAGGATAGAGGACTAAAAAAATAATTCAGTGGGAAAGAAGTGCTAGTTAATGGTATGCATTCATGCATGCCTTATATTATGAAATATCTAAAAGCGGAGCAGCTTCTCGGCGCGGGCGACGCCCCGCGTGCAGAGCCCCTCCCCAGCGCTCCTGCCGCCAACTACCTGCCCTTATCCTGCGTCGTCATCACCACCGGACCTCCCCGTGTCCCCGTGGCGCCTCCTCGTCCATCGCTGGCGCGGCGGGCAAGATCCCTCCCCTCCTCGTCCGACTACTACCGCGAGATTCGGCCGCACGCCATCCGTCGACAGTTCATGCCATTGGTTGGCTCTTGGGTGGCATGGAGTGGTGAGTTTGTGGCCGTTTCTTGCGGCATGGTGAGGTGGGGGGAGAAAGAGAGACTGCACATGTCCATGGCGTGGTCCCGCAACTCAGAGGCGAGGGAGGATGACGAGATGAGTTCTTTGACTCATGGGAGGTCATGTTGCCGGCGTCCGTCTCTTCTCCGGTGAGCTCTGGGCACCACAACAACGACGGGTTGCACTACGACAGGCCCATGCTCGAGGTGTGGACCTCCGCCCACTGCTCCCGCCGGCGACGCCCTCCCCTTCTCTTGGTCCGCCGTGTCGCCGGCCATTGGACCTCCCCGTGGCGCCTGGAGAGAGAAGAGGGGAGAGAGATGAAGAGAGGGAAGATGAGGATTGAGGAGGAAGAAGAGGAGGGTGGGCCCCATCATTTTTTAAATAATTCTTTTGGTGTAATTGACATGTGGGGTAACTGTTTTTATTAATTTCCAAATCATATATTGCCACGTCAATGCCATATCAATACCACGACAGATGAAGATCAGGTCAATTTAGCCACGTAGACGCCACGTAAGATGAAAACGCCATCCAAACCGTCATGGGACCTATATTGCACCGGTTTTAACAATTGAGGGACCCGTTGTATCTGGTTTTATGGTTGAAGGACGAAAATTGGATTAGTTGACAAGTTAAGAGACCTTGGAAGAACTTATTCCACGAGAAAAAATGGCGATGCGAGAAGATGAGGCTTCCGACGCTTCCAGTTGGGCGGGCAGGGTTCAATATCTCGTTTTTGCTATTATATTGGGAGTACCGATAGGACCAAAATTTTGATTATTTCAGTCTGAAATGATTCAAAATTTTAACAAAATTAAGTCAAATTTGAACAACTTTTGCCAAATTAAAAAATAAAAAACCCAAAAAATTCATGCGATATAATTTCATATTAGGGGTCTGATAGACCCCAAATTTCAAAAAGTTTAGTCAGAAATTTTGAACCCTGCATGACGAGGGTGGTAGTCAGAAGCGGCGAAGCTCATCCCGGGTTGTTGGACGAAGTGGCCAAGGTGTCTGGCACACGTGTCGAGCCGGAGACATTCTGACGACCATGGAAGACGACTGGGGAAGCTGAGGACGTCGTGATCCTTGTCGCTCCTTCGTCCTATAAAAACCAACTTAGTACTGTACTATAAATTTGGATATACATCTGTTCAGATTTATTGTATTAAAATATGTCATATTCAGTACTAGATTTGTTTTTTTTTGACAGAGTAAGTAACCCACACCGAAGGGAAGTGGTCGTGGGCGATGGTGTCTAGCGGCATAACACGGTGATCCCAGACTCCCAGGTCTTCTTCGGCTAGGGAGCAACGACATCGTGTACGTAGTTGATGGCCACGATGAGGCCAAGAACATGCTTTGCTCCTCCTATGCGTATGAGATTGCCGCCGACGCCTCGCGCGTGCTCCCGGACAAGTTCAAGGAGTGCGACGATCGAGCAGCTGGCAGCCATAGGGAATGAGTGTGTTATGGTTACGGATAAGCCATACCATCTATCTTAGAAGTTATGAAATATACGGATATAGCATATGTTGTATGTACGGATACGGCACACCTTCGTATATCACTAGATTCATATTTTAACGTACTTTGGTGTGATGCTAATTTCATATTTATTGAGAGTATAACATTGAATAAATTAATAATTAAAATATGTTATTTTGAAGACCATGTAAAAATAACTCTTATAATTTGAGACGGAGTGGGTACTAACCATTATTAATAAGGATAATGACAGGAGGGTGGGTACTTCTCCACTCCAATGTCCAATGGTGCAGTTCTTCACTCCGATGGCGCCAAGCCAAACTACAGATGAATGGAGTTGAGCTGACCTTTGTTTTGTTGGTCAGCTCGGTTCTCACTTTCAATCCGTACGCAAGAAGAGAACACAAAAGCGTGTGAAGGCATAGCTAACTTGTGCGTTGACAATGCAAACACCAGTTGGTTAAAATTATCTTTAACAAAAGTTACAACTTCTCTACACTAGAAAGATATAAAAACACCACCATTTGCTCATTGACTTATCAGGCAATTTAAATTTTAAAAGCTAGTTTTAGAGTTTATTTTGAAGTTCTTTTATCGTAGTTTCTTTTTAATATTAACTAGTTAATCGTTAGAATATATATATATATATATATATATATATATATATATATATATATATATATATATATATATATATATGAATATAAAGATGCTATGTATATAGATTTGTCCCCTCGATTCAGAACAAATGACTTATTCGAGCTATTCACGTAATCAATAATGATAAAATAAATTACAGTTTGAACTATTTTTTATTAGCAAAGTTTCGCTTTAGATCACACTTTAACCAAAATTGTCACTTTAGCCTTAGTTCATTTTACCTTTGTCTTTGGACCACCCTCAATTTTCACTTTAGCATTAGTTCATTTTACCTTTATCTTTTTTCACACCTCATGCAGAATCATCTGCAGTGTAAATAGTAAGAGTTATTTGGTTCTTAACTAATATTGCCATAACTCATTTTAGACAGCCACACTTCTTATGGCCTACAAATTGTAAGCCACACTTATGGCAAAGTTATTTGTGCAAATAATTAAGTATATGACGTGTGAGGTAAGGTGCTAATAAAGTGTGGTTTACCACAACTATAATAATGAACCAAACACTGTGGATGTGTGGCAGCCTAAAATGTAGAGAAACACTCGAGGGTCTTTCGGCTAGTTCCACAAGTTGGTAGGCTAGACAAGTTGGGTTCGAAACCTCACCCCTTCTAATTATTTGATATTAGATTTTTTCATAATATTCATTTTTTCAAAAAAAAATGTGACATGGTAAAGTTGAAGCATTTGAATCAAACAACCCCTTAAATACTCGTGAAGTTAAGCGTGTCTGCGTGTGTTGGATTTGGACCGGACCAAATCCTGACGGGGCCATCAGATCAGAAGGTCTCGTTCCACTAACGACTGGGCCCCACCGTTCATCCTCCGCGAAACCAAACCCACCATAAAACCCACCACCATCCGACTTGCTCGACTCGAGCCCTCGTCCGCGCGCTTCGCTCCACCACCGCCGACGACGACGAGGGCCACCTCGACCTAGCTCGTCGGCCGGCCGGCGCCGCCCGCCGCCCGCTTGTGGCTTACTGGCTTGGCCTCCTCCCCCCCACCCCGCCGTCGCCACGATGAGCGCCTCCTCCGCTTCGACTCTGCCCCCGGTAGGTCGCCGCGATCTCGCTACCTCTACCTCTCTCTCTCTCTCTCTCTCTCTCTCTCTCTCTCTCTCTCTCTCTCTCTCTCTCTCTCTCTCTCTCTCTCTCTCTCTCTCTCTCTCTCTCTCTCTGTGTCTGCGTCGTCGGAGAACCTTCCGATCGCCGCAGGCTTCTAGAACCTTCTGGATTATACTTCTGCTCGCCTCTCCTCGCGATCAGGGCCTGTTTATTGATTTGTTCCCGAATTAAATTACTGGTTGCGGTAATGCAGGTCGGGAAATCCGGGTTCACCAAGCTGTGCAAGGGCCTCGCCGTCGTCTTGTTCCTCGGCCACATCGTGATCCGGCTGTTCCCTTCAGCTGTCACCTACCTCGCGCTTATTCCCTCCAGGTGACAACCGTCATCATAAAACCCCACAAGATTAATTGCTATTTTCTTTTGTCATCTAATAAGGGAACTAGATTTGTGCACATTTTTGGGTTCTGCCCCTGCATTTCGAGAAATTTTAGTACATTCTCTGGGCAATGGATTGTCTTAAGAAGCAGTAGTTTATGTTCATCTTGAATCGCATTTGTACTCAATTGTAAATTAGAGTGTTCGTTAAATTACTGATCTTAATGCACGTCCATGGCTCATTGTCTCTGTTGTTAAATTTTTGTTACAACAAATATAATATAATTATATCAATGCACAGCATATAGCTTATCGAGATCTTTATCGGCAAATATGAAATGAATGCAATTGACCGAGATGATTGTTTCCAAATGAATGATGATTTAAGTGTATTTTTCTTACAGGACAATCCCATTTGCTTGGAACCTCGTAACTTCAGGCTATATTGAGCAAACAATTCCAGGGGTAGGTTTGGCCATTTACATGTATCCATAACATGCGTTCTGACTTCTTATTTTGCACTATTCAACCATCTTTCTCCACTTTTGTCTTACTGTTGCCCCTATAAAGCTAAATCCTCTGGACCATTATGAATGGAAATGTAACAAAATGGCGGTAGAAAATTTTGTTGAGTATAGTTCAATATGATGCCTATTTCTTAGTTGGTTTAGATGATCTTAGTTTTTTTTGGAAGTTTAGTAGGATGGCCTGGTGGGATACCATTCTATATGATTATCTTTTTTCTTAGGTTTCACATCTGCCTCTTTTTAAACATCTTAATAAGTTCATATTGTATTCAATTCCAATCTATGAACTTTTGTTGTATTAGAAAACTTATTATGGTTATATTGTACTAATTCATTGTCCAGGTTTTTCTTTTGTCCTCCCTGCCTAAACCATCTTATGATGTGTATGTGATATTCATGTGATGGTGGTGTGTTTTGATCTTCCTCTCTCTAGGAAAGCTCTGTTTCTTGTGTTCTGTTACTCTTATTCACCTTGGACACTGCATGAAATACCTGACATGAATTATGCACTTATTATTACAGGTGATTGTCAGCATAGTTGGTCTTCTTGTTTTGGGAAAAGTGTTGGAGCCTTTGTGGGGTGCTAAGGAATTACTAAAGTTCATTTTTCTTGTCAATCTCTCAACTTCGGCTTGTGTCTTTGTAACAGCTATTATTTTGTACTACATAACACAGCAGGAGATCTACCTGTAAGTACACATCTATGCAATAGCTTACCAGTAAAATTGGATGGTTGCAAATCAGGCCCTTAAAGTGCTTTAAAATTTGTGTTCTCGCTTTTAGGATTTTTCACATGCAGATTGAATCAATAGGTACATGATTCCTCTGCTTCTACATGCTCAAGTTCTTTGAAATGATTATAGGTCACTTGATAATTCGAAATGGTGGTTGGAGTTCCCATTTTGCCTACTGATACGATAAGTAACCTATATGATGGAACCAGGGTTATCTGGCTTGTTCAGAATTAGGGCCTGTTTGGCACAGCTCCAGCTCCAGCTTCACCCCTTCTGGAGCTGGAGCTCAGCCAAACAGTTTCGGCTCCACCAAAACTGGGAGTGGAGCTGGGTGGAGCTCTCTCACAAAATGAACTAGAGTTGTGGAGCTGGGTTTAGGCAGCTCCACAACTCCACTCCAGACTCAACTCCTGGAGTTAAATTTAGGAGTTGGAGCTGTACCAAACAGGCCCTTAATCAAATAAATTTTGTGATTTTTTTCAATATAGGATATACATGAATGAATTACTTTTTTAACTTGTTTTTCATGAATGAATCTTGACAATGAAAAAATATTTGATTCTGCAGTTACACGCCTCTTTCTGGGTTCTATGGAGTTCTTTCAGGATTTCTGGTGGGTATCAAGCAAATTTTACCTGATCAAGAGATTACTCTTTTCCTGCTGAATATTAAAGCAAAGGTTTGTTCACATCTATTATTAGATTAATCCAATTTGGTATTCAATTTTTCTCCTCAAGGGAGAACTGACACCTCAATTTTATGTTTACTCAGTGGATTCCATCTCTTGTTGCATTTATTTCGGTTTCCCTAAGCTTCTTCATGAAGGATTCAGTGTCATACATCCCAATCATATTATTTGGCATCTACCTGAGCTGGATTTACCTGCGTTACTTCCAAAAGAGGCTAGAAGCAGGCTTAAAGGGGGACCCAAGTGATGAATTCTCATTCTCAAGCTTCTTCCCTGAATTTTTGAGGTATTAATTTTCTCTTGGGATCTTGCCATGTGCTGTTTCTGTAAGCCTGCTGAAGTCCAACACAATCACACAGTATTTCTGCAAACATCTGAAACATTTTAGGCCCCCCTTAAAATAAACTTGTTTATTGAAACATGCAAATATTCTTGTAAGTAGTCATAATATTCAGGTTTCCCTTATTTCTGGGGAAAAGGAAGCCGTACTAAAAAAACAATCATAAAAAAATGCTCAAGAATTAAAAAATGATTCTGGAGAGGATCAGTGTGTACCTAACCAGCACTCTGCCAAGCTAAGGCAGAAGTTACTAAGAATTCATGCTGTCATATTAGCTATAGGGATTCTGTGAAGAGCTCTCAAAAAAGTTGTCATGGATATTTTTTACAAAGTATTAATTAACCTTTTAGCCAACTGTGCAAGATGAAAATGCATCCTAATAAATCCAGCATTCTCTCTATGTGAGTTTAACAGTCCATAGGGATTTCCTTTTCTGATTCTCAGAAGAACTACGTTTGCGCCTTATATTCTACATTTCCTAACGTTTATTCTTTCTGATATGTCGAAACATGCAGACCAGTTTTGGACCCAATAGCATCTGTGTTCCATACACTTGTTTGTGGACGATCCGAAAGATCTGAAGCCAATGATCAAACACTGGATGGGCTGTTACCTGGTTCATATTCTATTGAGGCAAACCGTAGAAGGTGTGGATTCTCTTTCTTTTCCTATTCATCCTATCTAGTCCATTTGGGGAAACCATCATATATAATGCTGGCCATATGATGTTGCATTCATTGAACTGCATCTTTGCAAAGCCCAAAAATACTCAAAAGAAGTCTCTGTGGGGTCTGTTCCCACTGTTTTTTTAACTGCATACAAACACATCCTGCATTTTCGTAGGCATTGCTTTCCCTTTGAAAATGCGAAGCTCTCGTCCCAGGCAACTCTCTCTCTCTCTCTCTCTCTCTCTCTCTCTCTGACTTAAAACTTTTAAAACGGACGGCATGAGTCCTATTCATTCATCTCAACCAACTGAATTTCGATAGTACAACTTGCAAGCATGGGCGCCATGGCTACAATGCTCACAATATTATCCGACCTACTAGGCTGCTGTTTGACTGTGGTTGGTTCACTGCAGAGAAAGGGGTCAAAGGGCACTTGAGCAAAGATTGGCTGAAAAGCTGGCTGCGGTGAGGAGCTCAGAGGCCACGCTTCACCACCACCACCACCACCACCACCACCACCACCAGCAGGACGAGGATGATGCTTCAGATAAAGTCTGAGCAGTGAGCACCCTCTTTACCGCGTTTGGTGGATTCGCAGCTGGAGCAGCGCTGTGCTGTGCTGTCAGGAGATTCTTCTAAATTTGCAGAGAGAATCGTGGACAGCTTCAGCTGTCACAGCCATGAGTTAAAGATTGCAATGTGATTTTCTTCAATGTCTTGGTGAAAAGAAATTACACAGGATATTTGGTTCTTTGTTTTGTGACGATCAATAGAAGCTAACAGAGCCAATTGCCGCAAGACAAACAGCTTTGTTGGAATGTCTTCAGTTCTGATTTATTTAGTGGCCTGAGACCGTTCAGTGTAATCTTTTTTTTGCCAAAGTTCTATATATTACTACTACCGTATGCTTTCTGTCCTAACAACGTTGCCTGCCTTGTCAATATATGCAATCCTGTAGGAAAATTTCTGCCTGTGTTATATGTGGTCCGACCTGAAACGTCTTAGGGTGTTTAGTTCGTGAAAATAAAATTTTTGAATGTCACATCGGACATTTGACCGAATATCGGAAAGGGTTTTCGGCCACGAATGAAAAAACTAATTTCATAACTTGCCTGGAAACCGTGAGACGAATTTATTAAGCCTAATTAATCCATCATTAGCACATGTGGGTTATTGTAGCATTTATGGCTAATCATGGATTAATTGGGCTCAAAAGATTCGTCTCACGATTTTCATGCAAACTGTGCAATTAATTTTTCTTTTTATCTATATTTAATGCTTCATGCATGTGTCTAAAAATTCAATGTGACGTTTTTTGGAAAAAAACAAATTTTGGGAACTAAACAAGGCCTTAATCAGAAGAGCTCAAGGCCTGACACGGAAGTACTCTCAGACCCCCTTTGATTTGAAAGAAAAAGACATAATATTTTTGTAGGATTCAAAATCCTGTAAGTTTTTCCTATATAACCCTTTGTTATATGACCATTTAAAACACAGGATTGAGCTATTGAATCCTATGAAATTACTAAATGGGTGCCTCAATCTTGGAGGATTTTGAGCATTAGATCTAACATCGTGAAAAGTTTCCTATGAGTCTATCTCTCTCATTCAATTCCTATATTTTTCTTGCAGTTCAATTAAATGATTATTTTCTCTATTTTGCTTTCTCTATTTTGCACTTGAATTCTAACGTGTTATTTTCTATTTCTTCATATATATTTTTTCAATCATGTGTCTCGAAGGAGCCAACGTTTACGTAAATTCTTCGTGCAATCGCACCACCAGATTGTAGAGGGCGCTTGCCACCCAATCGGAATGGTTGCGTAATGTGTTTCACATATACAAATCATTGTCCGAAATATTGAACAGTCATGATCAATCATATCTGAAATCACTTGATCTTATTGTAATTCCTATACTTCCTTTGACACAATGAATTCAGGCTATATGGAAAAACTTACACGGATGTTGATGTGATTGTCCTAAATTTTATCTGATTTAGAACTTTGCAGAGTGTGCTCCCTTCTAACCACAACTTGGAACAAATTCAGTGCAAACACAAACCTTACGCTACATACAATTTCAACTTGTCGATATTACACGTTGATAATAATGTCTTAGGTTTCTAAACAAATTTTCAAGCCAAGCCATATAAAACCAGTATAGACAAAACAGTGCCTACCCAACCAGCCAACCTCTACTTACAATATAATAATATATAAAGACAACAAATACACTACACAAAAGAAGGAATATATTGCAAAAATTCACTATTGAGCATCCCATAGGTCTAGATATTACAACCAGATACTTTGCCTACTTCTGCAAATGAAGGATGGGGGAGGGTACGAGATCTAATCCTCGAGCGCCTTCAGGATGTCTTTCTGTACATTTTAAACAGATATATCAAAATTGTGTATGTGCATATAGAGCGAGTAAGCGAGAGGCTAGAGAGAGAGAGAGAGAGAGACCTCAAAAGACAAGGGACTGGTCGCAGTCGAGTATCTGTTAATGACTTTGCCATTCTTATCAATAAGAAATTTGGTAAAGTTCCACTTGATTCTAGATCCAAACAAGCCAGGCTTGCTAGCTTTCAAAAATTTGTAAAGTGGTGCAGCATCAGGACCATTTACACGCACCTGCAGATACAAAATTTGAAAAATAACTAGCGGCTTCCAACAAAATAAAGTTAAATAAATCCACATGTCGTAATTGTTATGGCTATGTAATGATTGCAAGAAATATGGGATTCAAATAAATTCTTACAAAAAGATAATTAGATAGTATTGCTTTGCATTAGGTTATCATCAACATTAGAAGACGTAATGTGGCTAGTCTCTAGATTCTTTTAACATATTTTCAAAAGTTATTTTTAATAAAGAAAAGGTAAAATATCTTGTGGCAAAGATAATGTAGAACTTTTTCACCTTCATGAAAATAGTGGAAAAGGCTCTTCTCAATGGTAACGAGTCCTAAAACAACTGATGCCTTATCTAGACCTGAGGATCTCTGGCTCAATTCTTTCCTAAAAGAATAATATCCTCAGCTACATTCATATGGAAAAGGGAAAACATAGATGCACAGAATTTCTATTGCTAGATTTTCATTTCTATTATAAATTGCCAGTAAACAGTTGCAAGAGTTATCAGTGATTATCTCTTTTGTAGAGACGCATGATTGCCAGGATATCTGGTCTCCCCTTTGGGGATCTAGTGCATTCTAGTGTGTACAAAAGTTCTTTCTAATGCATTCTAATGCATACGCTTATGCCTAAACTCTTCTTACAAACACTTTTGAAAAGGAAAAATAACTGCAAGTGGTATGCTGCAGAATCAAGAACTATAACTTGTAATCATTGTGCTATATGTAATTTGGATGCAGGAGTGAAGGACTCGATGCAACTATTTTTTAAATGTCAGTTCAGCAAAACCTACTAAGATACTCCCTCTGATTTATAAGCTATCTTAACCTTCTCAGTTAATTTCCTAAATATAAGTCATCCTAGAATTTCTAGGTATTCCCTCATCTTCTCCTTCCTGGGCCAGTGGCCCTCACAAAATAAGTGTTATCACTCTCATGAATAAATGACTCATATTTCCGTGTGGTATAATGGAGGGAAACAAAGTCAGTTGATCTACTCTCTTATTCTCCATGCACACATTTAATTAATTGGTATCAATGCTATTGCCCAGCAAAGGCACATGCAGGTCCTAATTAGAACATTTGGACACAAAGGAACAGGGGCACAGCAAAGGCACATGCAGGTCCTAATTAGAACATTTGGACACAAAGGAACAGGGGCATACATGACAAGGTTCCAATAATGAGGCACGGACTGGAAATAACTTTGTTGTTGGGCTTGATTTGGCTCAAACTATTACTTTTTCAGAAGTTGGTTGATGCTCTGAAAAATCGGGTAGGATAGTTTGCATTGGAATTTCAAGTGTGTTTTCTATAACATTTCGATTGCTGGTAGAGATTTAAGGCCTATGGTTTGAACTTCCTGCTCCTTTTGATCTTTGTAGATTCATATGTATTTATTTATTTAAAATTAGTTTCAGTAGGGTTCTCTCTACTGTTTCCTGTTAAAAAAGAAGGATACAGATAGTGTTTTAAGCTCTAAGTACCAATAATGAGGGACTCAAACTGAGGATTCACTAATTAATAAATAATTGGAAGCTTCCAGCAAGCAAGCAGGTTCATCGGATAGTTCTTACCTTCTGAAAAACGGGATATTCAGCTTTAAATCTTGTGCAAGCAAAATCCTTTATTTGCTGGTCAGATCCTGGCTCTTGTCGCAAGAACTGATTGCAGGGAAATGCTAGAATCTCAAAATCTGCTCATGTTGGAAGCAGGTGAAGTTAGTTTTGTCCTAAACCAAAGATAAGTGGAACTTTTAAAGAAATATTCGATCCAAATATAATCAAATACTGCAACTAACACTGTAAAAGCCAATAGGTCTTGTGTATTGCATTCACATAATATCCAACTGGAGTGCAATGAAACTTACAACTTAAACGCATAGATCACAATTCGCCATTATAAATTTTACTTAAACACATAATATCCTTTCGGTTTTTGGGTAAGATTTATATACTTCGTTAGTATCAATCAGATTTTTTTTGCGGGAAACACTAATTAGACTAACATGTTAATACACTTGAAAACAACATAGAGCCTAGTCGCCAACACGTATCCATGATCGATACAGTATCGATTACTCCAAATTACGAACTGCAATCGCTCTTCAGTCACTGGATATATGCTATGGATGCGCGGCGCAGACTAACCTTTGTCCCTGTGTTTCTGATAGAGCTCCGTCAGCTGCGTGTAGTTGGTCTCCGTGAACCCACTGCCCGGTACAGATCAAATCAAAGCATACCCGCAGTCAAGAACACCATTTTCACACACCCAAAAAAAAAGAAAAAAGAAAATTCTACCCACGACCATGGTGAGGACAGGATCGTGATGGCGAAGTATATACCATTTGGAGGCGACGTTGACGACGATTAGCACCTTCCCCTTGTACATCTCCAGGCTCACCTCCTTGCCGTTGCAATCCTGCTCAAAAAAAAAACAATTAAAAAAGAAAAAAGAAAACGAGAAAAAAAATCAGCAAAAATCCGTCGCGTAATCCGGCGGCGGAAGAGGAGATGGGGGGGAGATCGCCGGACCTTGACGGTGAATTCGTGTATGGAGGTCTCCGGCACGGATTCCGCCGCCCCCATCTCGCCCTCCTCCTCCTCCTCCGCCTCGCGGATTTCGCCGTGGAGAAAAAAAAATCGAAATCCCTCTCCCTATCTCTCTCTCTCCTCGCTCTGATAGGAGCGGAGCGGGTAGATGCGGGGATTTTTATACGCGCCGTGATAAAAGGGGGAGCTGGAGGTGGGGCCCACGGGTCAGCGGTACAGGAGGCTTGTCCGGCCGTCGACGTCTCTGCGGCGGGCTGGTCTGGCAAGCAAGGCGTGAAACGGCTCCTCCTTTTCGCCTTCTTCGGCCGTGTGGGCCCTTCGGGAAGCTTTTATATTTATTGTGACGGCAAAAGTCATTTCCTCCTCGTTTGGTTATTAATAAGGGCAGACCATAAGTATTAGTGTAGCCCGAAATTATAAAAAGGGAAAGAGGAGGAGTATATGGAATGAAATTGAAGTGTGTTCTTAAATTGTGACTAAAAATGCAACAAATATCATCGAGAAACGCTCAATTTTAAGAAATATCATCAATAAAAGCCACATATTTTCGCTTATACTTATGTTTATCACCTAATATTTAAATTTTCAACATAACATTTGAAATTGATTTTGAGGTTTTCTTCATCGAAGTATATTTTTTGGCCTTTGCTTTTAGATCGCTAAGAACATGTATATAAAAGTTTTATTCATAATTATTTTTCGTTTGCAAATACGTTGTTTGGCTTATTCCATCAATAAGCCAATAGATGGGGGGCCTAAGTGTGATTTTCATGAAATGTAATTATATAATTTTGATTTTCATGAAATATTATCGTACAAGTGATTTTATTCTAGAAATGAAATTGTCATTATGGTCTCGTAAGCAGTTCTCGGTTAAGTGTTAGTGCATTTAACAGGGTGGGATGGATGAATCCCTAATGGTGATAGTGTTTTTGGACAAAGTTGTTTGTATGGTAATACTTTATAGAACTCGTATTTGCCGATTACATTTTTTGGAATTGAGCGTTTGACAATGGAATTTCCTGGATTTTCTCATTGTGTTTCGGCATGGTCGTTTGTATTTTACATTGGTATTTATTTATATTCATGCGTCTCACTAAAACAACTTGAATCTTTCTTCGGAGAAGGATTGACGTGAAGTGGCTTGTGTTTTAGTCGATCCCAATATCTTTAAGAATGATATCGAGCAAAGTTTATGGCAAAGACAGGGTGATATGCGAACTACATGTGTGATTATTTGTGTGTTCATCTTTTAACATTGCTTTGTGGTAGCTGAAGAGATAGATGTTTTGACACACTGCTTAGCACATAGAGAGAAGCTATGTAAATATGAACCCATAGGTACCTTGTCTTAAGCATGTCACAATACATTGTTGCTTTGGATCCATTGAAAAAGCAAACTTAAGAAAGCTACCTTTGCAATAACCTGTCGGAAATTCGGAATGCTACTTTTGGTGATTGGTAGCATTAGTCTACATGGCTTATCATGACCAGGATTTACGAAACCACGCGGTTATTGTGGTTACTATGCACGATAACATTTTCAGTTTTTAAAACCACGGTACGTCTCACGATTACCGTGCAGTTTTTGCGGTTAACGCGTTGACGGAGCTCGTGGCCCCTCACCGGGAGACCGCGCAGGCCCCCCTTTGCTGATTCGGCCGGGGGCTTAGGGTGAGATCTCAAGCTCTCTCTCTCTCTGTATGTGTAAAGATCGTCTGCCCGGAAGAAACACGAGACACGGCGATGTATACAGGTTCGGGCCGCTGCGAAGCGTAATACCCTACTCCTGTGTTTTGGTGGATCTGTGTATGAACGAGTCACAAAGTGTCAGCTGACTTCTCCCCCGTTCTCAGCTCTCAATCCGGGAAAAAATCAACCAACCAACCAACCCCTTTCTAAATGGGCAAGGTCCTCCTTTTATACTTCAAGGGGATACCACATGCACCCTTCCCTTTCCAAACTGGACTTTTCTTCTCTTTATGGACGGAGATCGGTATGGTTGCCGTCCAAATGACACTTTGATGGGACAGCCCATACCTGCCTCCACTCCCGACGGAGACAGGTGCAACGTGGGATCGTGGCTGCCCGTTGCTGATGCGACCAGTGTCAGACCGGTCATTCTTGTCCACCACGCGTCGGTTTAACAACGTGCATGTTTGCCCTTCTTCGTGTAACGCCTTGCCTGTAATGGTTAGGATGAAGCCTGGTATTCATTTAACCAGGGCTAACGTGCCATCTCTAAGAAATAACACGCTAGCTCCGGCTTGAGACGAGTGCCTAGAGGCTTTCGTCTTGACGGGATGGGGCAAGGCGTGCGTCAGACCGCCAGTCGCCACCTGACCCTTGATCTGACCGGTCTGTGACCGGTCACAGACCGGATAAAAGAGCGTGCTGTACTGCGTTGCATGCAGCGTGACACGCTTGACCAGACTGCAATAAATGCTGTTAGGTGAGCACAGCTGTGCTCACTTATCCCATATACGTGGCGCAGACTTCTTTAAGGGGTCGGGGTGCCTCGGCCCTCGGGGCCGGAGCAAACGCAACCCGACCCCCCCCCCCTCGGGGGAAATCAGGAGGAGGGCGGACACCTCACCCTCGGGCCCGACGTCCCCGAAGGTGCCAGGCCACGTGGGCGATTGCGTCTGCCTCAAGCCTCTGGTCATGATACTCCCGGTCCCATATCACCGACAGTAGCCCCCGGCGTTATGCCAGAGCAATTTCCCTTCCCAAGGGAAGCGGTCAGGTGTGACGCCACCCCTAAAGCCTGGTGACAGGTGGGACCGGTCTTCATAGTTGGGCAAAATACCCAACGGTCTTAATCCATGCATATTGGTATTGGTAACCTTGGTTGTCCATAATGGGCGGTCTATTCAAGACAGCCACATCACTTGAGCAGCGCGCGAATCTGGGTGAGCAGATTTGTTTTGCTTGGAGATACGGTAACGCTGCTTCGGTTGGCGAGCGTAATTAACGCGCGCACGATACAATCCGTTTCGATTGCCACAACCGCATATCCACTTCATGCGCCGTAAGCGGGCGAATGGGATTAGTGGAGGCGTGGGCACGGGAAACGAGGGAGCGAGATAGCGAGATACGAGGGAGCGAGGTAGTGGGCGCGAGAAACGAGGAGCCAGGACCAGCGATGGCAAGGGTATAAAAGCATCGAGGAAAGGATTTGCTCCCTTCCTTTCGCCATTGTTCCTCTTGCCTTCGCCGCCTGAGCTCTAACTCTTTCTCTGCTACGCCCTACTTTCGCCACACGCGCTCGTTCCCAATCATCTCTTCCTCCACCGCCATGGCGCGGGGCTCTGCTCTGCTCGATGGCAGTGTACTGCCGCCTTCCCGCATCGTGAACGAGAGGCACGCCGGACTGCCGCGCCGCTTCATGCCGGAGTCCGCCACCGGTCGGGAGATAGTGATGCTGGGCGAGGGGCGCCCGGCACCAGACTACCCGGGGCGGTCCATCTTCTTCCTCCCCTTCGCAATGGCTGGGCTGGTCCCGCCATTTTCTCATTTCTTCATGGATGTCCTGGAGTTCTACGATCTCCAGATGGCGCACCTCACCCCCAACGCGGTGATGACATTGGCCATCTTCGCACACCTGTGCGAGATGTTCATTGGGGTGCGCCCCTCTCTTCAGCTGTTCCGGTGGTTCTTCACCGTGCAGTCGGTGTCACCGCCGTCGGTGGTTGGCGGCTGCTACTTCCAGCCGCGGGGGCCGGTGTTGAACCGCTACATCCCCTGCGTCCTCCGCAAGAAGTGGGACGACTGGAAGAGCGACTGGTTCTACACCCCCCTCGCCAACGAAGCGCGCCTCCGACTTCCAAGCCAGCCCCCGGCGCAGGTCTCCAGCTGGCGGGCGCCGGTAGATCTGGGGGAGGAGTACGACGCCGTCCTCGACCGCCTGGCGGGCCTGCGATCCCAAGGGCTCACCGGGGCCATGGTGTACGGCGATTACCTCCGTCGCCGGATTGCGCCGCTCCAACGGCGCGCCCGGAGCGCCTGGGAGTATACTGGGCCCGAAGACTACATGCGGACCCACCAGGGAGCCAGATGGGATTGGGCTCCTGAGGACTTCAAGATCGTAGTCCAAAGGGTGCTGAATCTTAGCTCCGCGGAGGCGTCTCGCCTTCCTCAGGAGATCCTCCCCCTCTGCAGCGATCCCGACCGCGTCTCCATTCTAACCATTATGATGGGGGTCGGGGCCTCAGAGGAGAGAGCCCCTAAGGGCCACGACGGCGCGGGCGAGCGCCGCCGGGGGGAACAACCTGCCCCAGGAGGGGGTCGTGCTTCTGGGCCCCGCGTCGGGGGCTCGGGGAGCAGCCGCCCTGCCGACGCCCAGGGGAAGAGGAAGCTGGGAGGAACACCTCCCACATCTCCTCCCCGAGGGGGCGGGGCGGCGCGTGCCAGCAGTCGGCGCCCGGAGGGGGCCGCGCCGACGTCGCAGCCCGAGGGGATGCGCAAGAAGAAGCGGCTCCGCAAGACGGGGGAGACGGAACCATGCCGGGAAAACCTGATTTCCCCTCCAAGGTGGTCATTCAACCGACCCCCTCGCAGGTTCGTCTCACTCTCATTGCAACCATTTTCCTCCCAAAAAAGAAGTTTTTTCTTACTCATTTTGTTCGTCTTTCGGTTTTTTCTTCTGCTTCAGCGATGTCCCGTCGCATTCCTCCCGCCACCCCAAATCCGGCCAGTCCGAGGCCGAAGATCCGGCGGCCGCAGAGGAGCGGAGGCGAGAGTCTGACCGGCGTGAAGCCGCAGCCCGCCTTCGGGAAGCTGAAGATGCCGCCCGGGAGGCCGCCCGGGTTCGCCAAGCGGAGGAAGCTGCTCGGGAGGAGGCCGCCCGGGCTCGCCAAGCCGAAGAAGCTGCCCGGGAGGAGGCCGCCCGGGCTCGCCAGGCTGAGGCGACAGCTGCTGCTGGCGCGTCACTTGGGCCCACTCCCTCGGGCGGTCCTCAGGTGACATCCTCCGAGGCGGCTCGCGACGAGGCCGCGGGCGCATCGCCTGGGCCTACCTCACCGGGCGACGCCCAGGATCAAACGGGCCCGGGGGACATCCCCGAGCCCAGCGCATCTTCCGGGGGGCCAAGCCGCGTCGCCTTTTCTCCAAGGCGACTTTTCTCCTCGTCTTCCGTTGCCCCG